AGTGGGGGGGGGGGGGGGGGGGGGTTATAATCATAACTATATTTTTTAGGCTCAATCGGGTAACTATATTTTAAGTTGATTTTACTTGGGTAATTTTGTCTAATTCTGTTATTTAAGCTATAAAAAATATATATATATATATATCATTGGTGAGGTGCTCAATAAATGATAGTCGTAATGCATTTAATCTAGGTTGTAAAGTTATGTGGTATATTGTAACCCGATGAAATTTATAAAACAAAATTTGCGATTCTTACTTTCGTTTATTTATGTAATTGTAATCGATTCTTTATACGTGTTCAACTTGCATTTTGTTGATTTGTTTATAGCATAATATTTATTTATCAAAGTTCGAACAAGCACAAGTCATAAATCACAATAATGATGATCTCTTCACAACTAAGCATTTCATCATCTATTTGATTCTTTTCACGTGTGCGACTCTTTCATTTATTGATTTATTTACATGATGGTGCGTATTTATCTATGTTGAAACAAACTCAAGTCATAAATTGCAGCGCCAACATTCACTCTACATGGACTAGTTTGGAAAATTTTAAAGCAGAATTATATCAATAAATTAATTAATTTTTTTAAGCATTTCATCATCTATTTGATTCTTTTCACGTGTGCGACTCTTTCATTTATTGATTTATTTACATGATGGTGCGTATTTATCTATGTTGAAACAAACTCAAGTCATAAATTGCAGCGCCAACATTCACTCTACATGGACTAGTTTGGAAAATTTTAAAGCAGAATTATATCAATAAATTAATTAATTTTTTCTATAGACCCATTTTAATTTGAATTAACTACGTGCTTTTAACACAATTATCTTTAATGTGACATAAATACTCAACATAAGAAGTAATGACAAATCGAGAATTGTAGGTATAGGGAGGTCGTTGATCGTTGACCATATATTTAATTAAATAATATAAAAAATTATTCAATCCATATATAAATACACTAAATCGTAAAAATCACAAATTAAAAACTATCATCATGTTTCAATTTTCAATTTCCAACAACAATTTATTATTTATCATACAAATTCACCAATTTATCATTTTCATTTATCACAAATCAAATTCACGGTCCAAAGATATCAAATATTTTTAAAATTCACAAATTTTCAAATATCACAAATCATAAAACTTACTGTTACGTGTTGACACACTTGGCCGACCCAATGGCCCACTTCTGCCGAACCACGTGACATCTTATCCGAGGCTCCCATCCAAGCAAGAGTTCACCATCATAGTATAACAACACCACACGTGGTCCAAGTGCTGCCACCGAAGCTAATACGCCGAGGAGATCTCGTAGCCGAGACCCTTCTCTCCGAGGTCCTGAGGCTCTAAACAGCACTACTCCTTAGAGATCCGGTCTTACACAAGGATCATTTCTGAGTGATTGATGGGACACCCATCTTAGAGTGTAAGTGCCTTGTCTTGTTAACGTAGTGACAGAGCTGCCAATTAATTAATGTGTAACAGGCTAGGAAGTCAAATGTGACACTTATAATTGGACATGTAAACTTACGAGATAAGGCCACGTGTACTCCCAACCAAGGGTCACGATCTAAGTTATAATACTATAAATACTTCCCATGTATCTCTCACAAGGGTAATACAAGATTTCATACAAGAACAAATACAATATTCTTTACATTTCACTCTCTTACAACATACACGAATTCATACACACATTCTACAAATATCAATTGGTAATTATTGTACAATTATTATGCAAACATCTTATCGAATTTCGAACGTTCTCATCCCGTGCCTTTAAATCACCCCCACTCCCACTTTTTGCTATTATTTCTAGACGTCCACATGTCTTAATGTGTTGGACCAAGTTCACATGTGCGCGGGTGGGTCCGATATCTGTTGGCAACATATTCTGGGGTCAACAGGTTGGCGCCATCTGTGGGAAACCATACTATAACCACGAGCAACCGTGTGGAGGAAGCTTATCGAAAAGAGTATTTGGGTATCCCCCTTGAAAAAGGATTTGTTCTTGCAAAAGAACAAGTGGAAGCCCCACAACTTAGCAACAATCTAAGATCGGAACAGAAGAGAATGAGTTCAGATGAGGATGTACTCCCTAGGAGGGTAAGAGAAAATGTGGGAATGCTCCCAATGGCAGCTGCCCCTGTAGCTCGGCATCAGCCTCACCACTACCACAAAAGAGGTGGCATGCGGATGGCTGCTCAATTGTCAAGGAAAATGGGCACCATGATCGCAAACATAAGGGACATTACTAGCCAAAACATGGCCATGAAAGGACTCATGGCCCAAATGCAGAGCCAGGGAGGCTTTCCCATTCCTCCTTATGCACCCCAAGAACATTACGACCAAGATGAGGAAGTTCAAAACCAAAGGACTGTACCGGCAGAATATAGCCGAGGCAAGAGCCCCATGAAGAGGGAAGTAGAAGTTGATATTTCCTCCAATTATGTTGCTGGCCAACCCACCGAGGCCCGGCATAACCAGGATAACTTTCTACCAGCATATGAGCCAGAACAAAGACCTAGAAGGTCTAACAGCGTCTTTGATAGAATTAGCCCCGCAGAACCGAGGCACAGGCAACAGCAACAACAACGCGAGCCTCGGAATAGACCACAACACCCACCTCCAATGTCTCATCAGCCGGAGGAAAGGCATGAGAATGCCCCCCGTGTTGCTCTGCCTAGAAATAGGCGCCAAAGGAGGGAAGAGAAGGCTAAGACCCAAGCTGAACCCTCTCGTCAAATACCCAGGTATGAAACGGAGGAAAATAATGACTCAGATGAGTAGCAGAGGTCCTGTGACTTGGACGACGACGATGAAAATCTGCCATTCTCAAGGAAACTAATAAATACCCAGGTTTCAAGCCACTATGTGATGCCTAAGATACCAAAGTATGATGGGAGAGACGACCTGGAAAAATACCTAAGCGCTTATAAAACTCATATGAGCCTTAGAGGCTCCACCCCAGTTGTGAAGTGTAGAGCTTTTCATTTGACACTTAGTGGAGTGGCTGAAATCTGGTATAATCGACTGCCACCTGGAAGCATAAGGAGTTGGCCAGAATTCAAGACCACTTTCCTAAAGAGATTTACGGTGAGCAAGGAAGGAGAGGCCCCCATCCAGTACCTTCAAGACATGAGGCAGACACATGGGGAATCCCTGAAAAGCTTTTTATCACGTTTTACCGACAAAATGTTGTATTGCGTGCAAGTTACCGATCATGAAGCTTTGTCAACCCTAAGAGGAGGTCTAAATATGAACACCCTATTCTGGAAGGACGTGCAAAACCAAGATCCCACCACCTACGATGCTCTGTTGGAAATGATGAGGCGGGAGATTATTAATGAAGAATTAATTGAGCACGGAATCGGGCCAGCAGAGGCCTCCTACTTCAATAAAGACAGCGCGTAAGGGGACTAACCTCCCACCTGATGGACTACCAGATGAACCCACAAGGTAATGGAAATTCAGGGCAAGCACTTGCCACAACCACTTTGAAAGCAGCTCCAACTTTGGCATATGAAGATGTCAATCCAACCACTATCAACCCGCAAGCAGGAACTTTACAATAGGCCCCCCGTAGAGGAAGAGGCTGGGGACGCGGTTCCGGACCTAGGAATAGGCCTAATCAGAACCCCTCGATTATTGTACGTACCACCGCTCCTACGGTCATGACACGTCAAAGTGTCGGGAGTACGCATACCGCAACCGACCAAAAAATCCCCAAGACAGGAGGAATGATTCACCACAGGCGAATAGGCCCCTGCCTAGGAACGACTAGCGACCTAGGCGTGAGGGGGTCGCTTCCCACCAGCGAGATGTCTCCCCCCACTGAAGGGAACATGGCAAGGATAGAACCAGGGAAGGACACAGGCATCGTGGAAACTGCCATGCATGAGAGGAGGCCCCTATTCACGAGATAGACACCATATTTGGAGGCCCCTACATGGGAAGGGAGACTCGAAACGTAAAACGGAATTACGCCCGAGAGGCCAAACGCCTCCCACTAACCAGTTATATGGTGGACAGTAGCTCCCGAAGAAATCAAGTACTGTCCATCGTCTTCACCCAAGAGGACTCTGATGGGGTTCACTACCCCAATTGTGATGCACTTGTGGTAAGGGCCATTGTGGCCCGAAATGGATTCAAGCAAATGCTAGTAGACAATAGCAGCTCCGTTAACATCCTGATCGGGTCTACCTTTGACAAGATGATCTTGGACCACGAGCTGACGCGCACCACCACTCCTCTATATGGATTTATCGGAGATAGTATTACTCCGAGAGGAAAGATAACATTGGTGGTAGAGATGGGAGAGTCTCCCCAAACCACCATGAACTTCATGAAATTTCTTATTGTAGACAGTCGATCGGCTTACCACAGAGTCTTGGATAGACCAGCCCTAAAAGAGTTGGGAACCGTCACTTCCATCCACCACTTATGCATAAAACTCCCAACTGAGAACGGGGTGATAACAGTGAAAGGTAACCAAAGAGGATCCAGAGAGTGCTACCTGAGCTCCATCAGAAATGGCGATCCCCGAGACGTACATGCCATCCTGACTGATGCGGATATGGCAGACATCCCAAGTGAGGCCCCCCAAATGAGAGGATGTTGACATGATCGATGCACCTCTCGAGTAGGAAGAACTCTCCATGATCGATGAGATCGATCCCCGCGTGATTGGGCACGAACCCCAAGCAACTCCGATTGAGGAACTAGAAAACTTTCCTGTCAACCCCCGCGACCCCGCGAAGGTGTTGAAAGTGGGCATAGGCCTAAGCAACGACATGAAAGAAAGATTGAAAGACTTTCTCTGCAAGAACCTTGACATCTTCGCTTGGAGGCATGAAGACATGGTGGGCATAGACCCCAAGGTCAGTTGTCACCACCTAAAGATAGATCCTAAGGTTGCCCCACACCAACAAAAGAAAAGGGCCCTCAACCCAAAAAAATATGAGGCTCTGAAGGAAGAAGTGCAGAAGCTAATTGAGAATGACTTCATCAGAGAGGCCATCTAGCCGAAGTGGGTCTCCAACCCGGTGCTAGTCAAGAAGCACAGCGGTAAGTGGAGGGTATGTATCGACTTTACCAATCTCAACAAGGCATGCCCCAAAGACAGTTTTCCACTTCCAAGAATTGATCAATTGGTAGACTCTACCGCCGGGCATGAGCTCCTAAGTTTCATGGATGCCTACTCTGGCTATAACCAAATACCCATGTACCCGACTAATGAGGAGAACATCTCTTTTATCACTGACAGAGGCCTTTACTGCTACAAGATGATGCTCTTCGGGTTGAAAAACGCTGGGGCCACATATCAAAGGCTTGTCAACAGAATGTTTGTAGACCTCATCGGCAAGACAATGGAAGTCTATGTTGACGATATGCTTGTAAAAAGCCTGAAGGCAGACTACCATGTGATGCACTTGGATGACACTTTTCGAATCCTCATGAGGTACAAGATAAAGCTCAACCCCCTCAAGTACGCTTTTGGCGTTGCCTCTAGCAAATTCCTGGGGTACATGGTCAACCAAAGAGTAATCGAAGCCAATCCTAAAAAAATCAATACCTTGCTCGAGATGAGATCACCCTAAAAACCCAAGGAAATCCAAAGCCTAACTGGACGAGTGGCATCCCTTAGCCGCTTCATCTCCAAGGCCATCGATAAATGTCTCTCGTTCTTTAAGGTATTGAAAGCCAGAAAGAAGTTTGAATGGAATGAAGAGTGTGAAGAGGCCTTCCAGGTCCTGAAAAAGCATCTAAGGCAGGCCCTCTTCCTCTCCAAGCCTAAGCCCGACGATATCCTCCAACTATACCTGGCCATTTCCAACGAGGCCATCAGTGCAAGCCTGACCTGAGAGGAAGGAGCCATCCAACTCCCAGTGTACTATACCAGCAAGGCACTCCTATCTCCAGAAACTAGTTATCCCGATATGGAGAAGTTAGCATTATCCTTGATCACAGCTTCTAGGAAGCTGAGGCCCTACTTTCAGGCACACACCATTCACGTGTTGACCAACTTCCCTTTGAGGCAAGTGCTATAGAAGCTAGATGCCTCAGGAAGACTACTGAAATGGACAGTAGAGCTAAGTGAATTTGACATTGTCTTTAAAACAAGGGCAGCCATCAAGGGCCAAGCTTTAGCTGATTTTGTAGCAGTGTTCGCCAATGTACTCGAGGTGGAAGAGGTTATGGAACCTGTTGAGCCCCCCACGTGGAACTTGTTCGTCGATGGTTCGACTGGAGACATAGGTTCGGGAGCTGGAGTAGTCCTGGTCAGCCCAAAAGGTCACAAGTTGAACTCAGCTGTGAGGTTTGGATTTAAGGCCACCAACAACGCTGTTGAATATGAGGCGCTCCTCGCAGGCCTCATATTATCCAAAGAAATGCAAGTAAGGAGGCTACGTATCAACTGTGACTCCTAGCTGGTGGTAAGCCAAGTGAATGACAGTTTTTCAGCTAGTGATAAAACCATGGCCTCCTACTTGAAGATGGTGATGAACCTCCTCCCATCTTTTGAAAAATTTGAAATAATACAAATCCCTCGCCTCGAGAATGCACATGCAGACGTACTCTCTAAACTCGCGAGTAGCAAGGACTTCGAACTACTTACAATAGTACCAATTGAGCACCTCATCGCTTCATCTACCGAGGCTCATAAAGTGATGTGGGTACCGAGGCTCATAAAGTGATGTGGGTCGGAGGCACCCCTACCTGGATCAACCATTCATAGCCTACATAAAGGACTAGGTCCT